CGTTAGTGAACTGAAAACATAATGATTATCAGGCGAAGGTTCTGCTGCTCTCGATGCTCAGGGGGAGGGGGGGACGCTCGTCGCTCGGCTTTAGTCTACGCTGTAATATACACTCTAACAAGTTTTTACTTTTGCATAAAACTCATGTCTCGTAAAAAACATTTCATATTACACAAACGTGCGCGCACACACACCTACCTTTGTATCAGCTGCTGTGTTAGCTTCCTGCTAGCTGTGAGGAGGTCTTTCCTCTCTGGTCTTGGCAGTAAAAGGGGATAAATGTACATTTCTCTTTTGTAACCTCCRTCTTCTCATTTCTGATGCTGACTCTTGAAAATCCTCAGGTTAGAAATGCTGATTACAAACACAAGCGTGARCTTTTAAAGATAAGTTTTCCCTGTAATGCTATGATCCWCWSCTGTCACCTCCTCATCAAGAGGAAAAAGGATAAAAACTAACGACTCTATTGTACCTGCTGGTTAGYGGACACAACGACACAACAGAACTCATGTTTTATACCAGTAGATCACAGATGMTTTAACTTTTGTGACTTTTTCACAGACTAGTACTAGCAGCTAACGCTAAAAACAAAGCAGTAAGCAGGAAGTGGAAGGGAGGAGCGTGGCAAGAACTTTACCAGAAATACGTCATTAATGACCGTGGCATATAGGCGGTTCAGAGTTTAAAATCCCCCCAAAATGGAAACATTCCATRTAAGATTAAAAACCTGCTGCCCTTCAAAATAAGAGTCTGGTTTTTTTCACAGCTCTGATTGTTACAAAGTGAAGTGTTTTTTATTACAAATGACCAGTTTTAAAATCCACAAAATCAACAATATTTTATTCTAACAAACAAATGAAGACGAGTCAGTGATTTATCAGATTTATTACTCTTAACGCCTGATTAGAAACGTTTCAAAACAATAAAAGAAACAAACACCATAATCATTTTAATCCCCATCCATGTTAAAAAAGTTCAGATGTTGTAAAGCAACAGTTTGTTTTAAATCAGAACAAACCCTCAGGAAGGAAACAGAAAAAGCAGCAGAAACTTAATTAAACTGAATCATTGAATCTTAACATGTTTGTTAAATATCTACAGAGTGAGACCTCCTTTYACTATCTCTGCATCCAAACTTTAATCAACAAAAATCTCAAATATTTTACAAATCAAACCTTTTTCCTCACATTCATAAAAAGCCTGATCCGACCCAAAAACCTCAGATCGTGAAACACGGTCAGAACCCAACCTCAAGTACCTTTGATTGACATTTTTATTTTTTCAGGATTATTAATAAACTCCACTTTGAGATGACGGTGTTCAGGACCTGCTCCACATGGATCCTCTCTAAATCTGGTCCACATGGATCCTCTCTAAATCTGGTCCACATGGATCCTCTCTAAATCTGGTCCACATGGATCCTC